GTAGTAGTATGTTTATATAATATAATCAAGGCAAGTTAAAAAATGTGAAATAAAATTTAAACAATCCAATTATTTTAGTTGAATATAATAGAAGGTAAGAAATTAAGTTTTAAGAAATTAAATTTAAGAAATTAAATTAAGATCGCTTTAGTACTCGTAGTTCGATGTTTAAGCCGTAATTGGTTGAAAAGAAAAAAGAAAATAAAATAAACACGAGGATCTCTAAAATCTGATTTATTAAAAGCCATATTATCAATAAAAGAAAACCAGGTGTTCGTAACTAAAAACTGCTATTAATCTATTTCCTGCTGATTAATTAAAAAAAGATTCGTCTTGTGTTCAGAGTTCAATGACCTAAAGTATGTTAGAACTTTCAACGTCGATATAAAAACGTACTAAAAGTAAAACCAATTGTATATTTTATTATTTTAAAGTGAGAATGAGGTTATGTCACAAACGAGGTCTTACTTGTTTCACTTTTTATACGAGCAATGGCCGTTCTCTATACCGGAACCTTTTTTACTTTGGAATGTCCAACAAAGTTGTATCAAAAAAAAAGTATTCTTGTTTTTTAAATCTATATACATCTATACATATAATAAAATTCGAGTGTCTGTGTGTCAAAAGAAAAATTCTAGATTTCGGAAAGATGATGATGTTGCATGTTGATCGCAGGTAAATTAAAAAAAAAACAGCTAGGCCGATTTCTGAAGGGTAGCTGACATAGACGGACATATTATAGGCTACTTTTTTATCTTAATATTGCATGGACGAAGTTGAGGGCAACAGCTAATTTCTTGCATTAGATCTGGATAACAAGAAAACTAACGTAATCTTTTCGATGACAAGAGTTATATTTTTATGGAATTTTGTACATAACTAAGATCTTATATAAGTTCATAAAAGACATAGTTTTTGGAACCATCGTTATAATGAAAGATCAACTTACCGCTATTTTACGCTCTTCCAATTTGATTTTGAATTACATTCGTGATAAAATCGATTACTCGTAATAAAACATCAATTTACGCAACAAGAGGGATGTAATGGTAATGACGTAAGTTATATTGTAGTACCTTGATATCGATAATCGATGACAAACGAATACTTGAAAAATTTGGAACATCGATTACATTCCAAACTGATATCGAATGAAGTAAGTCGATCGGTAGTGTTAACAAAAAAATTGAAAGGTATTGAAATCATTGGAGCAATATTAATTGGTTCCGATAAAAGCGAAACGTGTTATATCTTTCGTTAATGATGTTATCGGGTTTTTACAATATAAACAAATCACCTGTTCATTGTCACCGTAATGATATTAAATAATTATGTTTGCGTAATTTAATATTTACTATGATTAAATTTAGAGCGTCGGTGGCTCAGTGGAGAGCGTCGGTGGATCATCGGTTTAAGCACTTCACTTGTAATCTACAGGTCTTGGGTGCGAATCCCGCCATGTACCAAAAGGTTTTTTTAATTTTTCGAAATTTCATATGCACAAAATTTACCCGACATTCTTACGGTGAAGGGAAATATCGTGATGCTACCTACACATATCAGCGAAGAAATTTAAAGATACGTGTGAAGTTGACTAACCCGTACTTGGCCAGCGTGGTTGACTATGGCCTAGTCACCCTAACTTCGGGTAGGCTCCGAGACTCTCGGTGGGGACATATGGTGAGCTGGTGGTGATAATGATTAATACAGGCCACACTAAAAACGTTTAATAAACTTCCATACGAAATTCCACTGTAATTTCAATCTAGATGTAACATGGGATACCGTATAGGTTAAAAAAGTAGAAGGATTTTCCTCCTAAATGCTTAACCTGTGGTCTCATCATTCTTTCGTGATCATTTATGATTCTTATCTTTACGTTATTAAGATAATTAAATAATTTATTATTGAAAACGATTCTTGTGAAAATAAATCTTAAGACACTATCTAACCTTGTCCATATTTATTTTAAAAATTTATAAAAATATGACCTCAGTTTCCTGGGTCTTCTTGGAAAAGGTTTCATTCATTGAATTTGTCATTTCAAGGTACTTTCCTCGATGTAATTTAAGTGGTAGAGAATAAGCAGCAATCTATAAAAATGTTTAGTAAACAGGGTTTTCAAGACCGTATTAATTGCATTCTATTTTTCATTCATTCATTTCATATATAGTTTTAATAACTGTATAAGTGACACTAATAATTAAATTGTAAAATTATGAAAATATTAATAGTGACTGGAACTAGAATCATTCATTAACAAGTCGTTGAAACCACTTACAGTGAATGATACCAACTTTCATTTCAATATTCTCTTAAATTACTTCCGCAACTTTCCGAGCTCAGAATGATTCCAATACAACGTAAATAGTGACAGTGTTAATATTGGCATTACTCTTCAAGTTTCATTTCGTTCTTACATATTGAGAACTGTCTTTAAAATAATTTTGATTCAATAACATGTATTTTCAAATCATCTTTTCACTTTTTTCACACCCGGGGTCAGGGACACATAAATACACCTTCGAAAGTGCTCGTATGGGGAAATTCACAAAAAAAATAAAAATAAAAGTCAAGACGTAAAAAGCGGCGGGCATTTTATCGTCCATACAATGAGGGTTCCTTCACAAAAAAGTCGTAAATGCCACAGTACATTGTCAATAATGGTGCGTTTGCGCATTCGAAACTCGACTTCACCGGGGTAACGAACCGGGGAGAATGCACGGCTCAGGTAGATCAAATTTACACTCAGCGTAAAGTGCTTTAAAAATAAATCCAGATTTTGAATAAATAACATTCCGCACTTTTAACTTGAAGAAGTAAAATAAAATAATCGTGATTTTGATTTAACATATAACAATGTCAATTTTATGATTATACTTTTGAGTTTGCATAATAAATTGTGCAAGTCATAAGTGTTTGTTGTTGATTCCGCGTGTAATGCCAATGCCCCGTGTCAGTGACTGCAGCGAAACTTTTCTCTGATTCCGCGATGCAGTCATCGCATCATGATTTATTAATTTTTGATCAAATTTATTCTACACGTTTTGCAGTAATTTCTTGTCTCACCTAAACCATTTTACTTCTATATAGATACGACCAACAAAATAGGTGCACGAAAATATGGATAGCGTCGGCGTCAATATTTGTATTAGATTTATATAGTGATATTAGGCGAAAAGTATTCCGATAAATCTCATAAAATCGACAACAATCTTACGGACACTTTCTCGCAAATTTTCGTTCCAGCCCCAGGAAATTAGCCGTCTATTATCATATTGTTGTCGTACCGGGTAATTACGAAGTCAAAAGAATTATTAAGTTTTTTAACAAAAGCTCTGACCCGTAAAGTGTGTCGTGTGAATTACACAATCAAAGAGTTCCTCGGAAGTGAACGTTTCCGAGTTGCGGTGACACTTGTTGGCTTCACACGAGGGTAAATAAGAGACACAGAGCAGTGTGCTGTCCATACTACTAAAGTTCTCATCTAGTAGAAAGAAGAGGATGGCTATGTCTTTAGAGGAGTTACGACATTGGAAATTTACCTTTATTGTCAAAGCAGTACTGTTCAATCTTAATCTCGTGCGTTCAATAGCAGTACTGCAATATGCTACTGCGCTTGCTGTTCTACCCTAGTGTGAAACTATCAACTAACAATGCCGTTGAAAACATCCAGTACAGAGCATTACGCATTTAGACGTTTAGTTTTCATTGTTTACGTTTGGAGGTTGAAGCAATTAGGTAATTTACTTCTGTATAATGGAAACGTTGGAGGTATCTTTTTTTTTTTTTTAATTCATAGCTGTGCGATTTCAACTTATAACTTTAACAGTGACTACAATAGACTCAATTTTGAATGAGTCATTCAAAATACAATTATATTACTCTTAATATAGTTTTGTCTATGATTAAAAATGCGTATTATTTGTATTTGTATTGCAATCTTAATCTATTAATTCCTGTTAGAAGAACAACAGAAATGAAAGTCCAACTATACGAACATATGTATATTATGAAATACTGAACATAGCCAAGGCTTGCGGTACGTTTACTAAAACATAAGAAAAAATATTACGAAAGGTACTATAAAAGTAACATTAGTGATTCCTAGCACGGCTTCTGTTGTGATGTTCTGTATTGCATTGTTGCGAAACATTTTCTTTTGTATCGAAACAATATTTCTGTAGATTTGATAGACCGTGACGTATTTACTAGGTCATTGTCAATCTTGCTTTGCATTGACGGCAAATTAGCCGCGAAAATAATCCCCGATTTTAGCAACAGTGAACTAAATTGCAAAACCATTTTATTTATTACTAGCAGTTCCCGTGCGGCTTCATCCGCAAGAAATTATGAAAATTTTATTTTATTGTTTACATTTGTCAAATTGTCAATAGCAAATGTCAAATGACATGACATGACAAATCGTAGCAATCTGTCTTTCTTGATGTTGGCAGCAACTTATGGTCTCTTTTCCACCTTAGGGTTTTTATCCAAATATTTAACCCCTAAGTTTAATGGCGTGAAAATATATAGCCTAAAGCGTGACCTAAGTAAAGGTCTTTTTATTAAAAAAAAAAGTTATTCGGAAATATGCTCTGATTGCTGACATCTTAGGCAACAAAGAAGTGTGTGTTTACGCTTCATTATATTAGTATAGAGTATAGACAGATACATAGATAAGCCTTCGCCCGCGACTCCGTCTGCGCGGAATTAAAAAAACTTAACAAGTAGCATAGTATTATTAGCATATTTGTTAGTATTATATTTGTTTGTATTATAAGTAGCATATTTGTTCTTCAACACTATGTTATATATGTTCAGACATCTAGATCCAAACTGCTGAACAGCGGTGCTAAAACTCTTACAAACAGCCTTCCCACTTTCGTATTTATATTATTGGTAAGATTGGTTTATCCACAAACTAGTATTGTAGTTTTATAACTTTCTTTTGTTTGATCGGTTGAACAAATTATTTAACGTTAGTATGTTTTCATTACCTTTAATGCTGAAAGCTGTGCTGTGATCACCGACTGGTATAGAAAAGGCCACGGACAATGTAAAAAGTAATACAGTAATTGCACTGACACCCATATTGCGAATATCCAAATTTATTTAAATAATTTATATCGATAAAATTAATTTAATTTTATACTATGCACGGTCTCGGACGCAACTATTTCCCGCGTGCGTTCGGTAACATTTGCGTCAAATTGACGTCCGATACGGTCGGTGTGTTGTCAACAACTGAACGGTTCTGTTCGACTTTCTATCAGCTGGTGGTCTTGGTAAGCGCCGGCGCAACATCGCTTGCCCATACGGTATATGTTGTTATATTGTGTTTCTTAATTTTATTTTACAGATACTTCTTTAACTAGATGAAAGCATATTTTACTCTAGTGAGCCGAAGGAAAAGGCAATTTTTATTTGGCGCGGACTTGGTATTTCCGAATTTCATATTATCTGAATTTAGACAACCAAATTCGTCGTTAAGTGGTGCTAATACCGGCCTTAGCTATTGCTCTTGCTCGCGATTTCGCCCGCGTGTAATTAAAAAAAATAATAAAAATACATGGCCTATATTACTCACTAATAAGGTAGTGTTTTACTGGTAAAATAATTTTGAAATCGGCCTAGTAGTTTTTGAGTTATTTCAATACATACAAAAATACTAAAGTACAAAATCTTTCCTCTTTATAATCTATATCTATCTATACTATAATATTATAATAAAGCGTAAACACACACTTCTTTGTTGCCTAAGATGTCAGCAATTACAGCATATTTTCGAAAAACTCTTTTTGTAATAAAAAGCCTTACACTTACATCACGCTTTAGGCTGTATATTTTCACGCCGTTAAACTTAGGGGTAAATATTTTGGATAAAAACCTTAATGTGGGAAAGGGACCATAAGTTGTTACCAACATCAAGGAAGCAAGGTTGTCGTCATGTCATTTTGACATTTCTAATTTGACAAATGTAAACAATAAAATAAAATTTTCATAATCACATGCGGATGAAGTCGTACGGGAACAGCTAGTATTAGTATATAAATTGTAGTTGAAAACTTTAATTAAGAGGTTTTAGGTTTTAAGGTTTTCCAGTGTTAGGTTCTTTTTAAATAGCGCGAATAAGCGCGCAATTCTTGTTGTACTCGACTGCCATTTCCATTAGGAGTATTCCCATTTTTGCAGCTGACTGTATAGTCATTGTGTTTGACTGTATAGTCAGCTGCAAAAATGTGTATTCGTTTATGAAACTTTAGAAGCTCGTATATGCCTCCGGTTTGATAAATATATATGTTCGTTAATACGACGTTTAGATTAGTTAATAGCATGAATTAGTGGTTGGAAGTATATACAGTAAGTATATAGACATTGATGTTTTGAAATATCGGAAGTTCGAATATATGCATATTTTTTTAGTCATGTAATTTTTCGCTTAGGAGAAAAGCTTTTTTTAAGTAAACTAACTATATATTTATCTTACTAATATTATAAATGCGAAAGTTTCGATTGATGGATGTTTGTTAGAGTTTGGAGTCTAAACTGCTAAATAGAAGAAATTTGACATAAACGTAGGAGAAAAGTCTGGGAAAACAAACAGGCCATTTATTTTTTTTATTTCACGCGGGCGCAGTTACAGGCGAAAGCTAGTTAAACATTAAAGTGACAACAACTACAAAGTAATTTATTGTAGTTAAGGGTTAGTTAATTGATAGTTGTAATAACCTTTCGATTTAACTAAATAGTTATTATTAGACCAACGAATAACCTTTTGTTCGTTAAACAGAGCATGTTGAAAATAGCATAAAGAAACGCTATTAACCTGATTTCATGGATAAGTGGAGAATGATTTTTTCATGTAGAAATAAGCGTTTACTGTTTCTTGAATGTTTTAACTAAGGGCCTAATGAGACTTTATTCACGTAAATATACCTATAACTATAATAAAACTGAATATTAACAAAACAATAGAGACAATGCCAGACTTATTAAAATGTGCCTATATTTTTAAATAAACAGATATACTAAACTCTCGTTTTCTCAAAGCAAGAGGAAATGGACTTCACCACTTTCATAACAAACAGGCCATATCATACTAACTGCTTCAAACAAAAAGAAACTATTTATTAGTAATTAACTTATTAAAACTTTGGTGATACATTGTACTTCATACTAATATTATAAATGTGAAGGTTTAGATGAATGGATGTTTGTTAGAGTTTGTAGCCTAAACGGCTGAACGGAATTCGATGAAATTTGGTACAGATGTAGAGGATAGTTTGGAAGAACACATAGGCTACTTACTATTGTTTGTTTTTTTAATTCCACGCTAGTAGGAAGCCAATAAATTATATTGTTTAATATCAACTTATCAATATTTATTAATTATATAGGCTTTATTCGGTTACTGACGCGACGTGAAGAACCACTTACCCTGAAGAAGGACCCCGACGGGTCTGAAACTGGTCGGTGCCTACACCGAAGTTTGTCACGTGAGTTGTGTTACAATTTAGATATTTATTAATAATTTCTATATGTTCGTGTGTTCGATTACTATTGTTACACCAAAGTGTAATTTTCTCAGATGACCTTGATGCAAACAGCTTTTATTTGCTTTCCAAAATTTCGCTAGTTTTTTGATTAATTAAAATGTATTTCGTAATGTATATCTAAGCCAATTTGGAGGCTCCGAAACCACAGTACCTTATGCCTAAAGGTCAATTTCTGTAACATATTTTATTCAAATTTGTAAATGTGCATATTGTTTCGTTCTGAGTAAATGCAAAGTTACTACCGTCAGTGGAAACAAGACACGCAAGCGTAGTTTTTGTCATCGGAAGCGTACACACGAAAGCCGGTGTTAAGGCCAGCATCTTGTAATTGATTATAAATGCACCCATTTACTGCATTTGATAGCTTTAGGTTAAATTCGGTATATTGTTTTGTGTTTAACATGTTTTTAAATCCTTTCAATTATAGTAAGGCAATATTTTTAAAGAGCGCCGGTGGTATAAATAGCCGATAGATGGCGTGCATTGTAAAGATTTCATATTCTGAGTCAACTATTGGTTCAACAAAAAAGTAGTGAAGAGATGTCGTTTTTTCTTATTTAAGCGTAGTTTCACTTATTCAGATAATTATTTTATGAAAATATAATAGAAAGTATTGTTTTTATACTTTAATGAAATGTAATGTGTTTTAAAGTGCCATCTGGCGGTGTTGTATTGTACTATACAACAGTAACTGAAGTCAATTAGTAACTTTGTAAAAGCGCCATCTAGTGCTCAGTAGCTAAAACAAAACAATATCAAGTAAGTGACTTTATATTCTTACAATAGATGACGCTAGTTATTCGTTACAGGAGGTGAAAATATAAATAAAAACCATGTTGACCGAAATGTGTTTTCATTGTTTACTTATTGTAAATAATAACAAATATGAAAAAATAGTTACATTCACACTAAAACTACCCGTAGAAAAATATGTAATTGATTAAATAAACAACAAACATTACAAACGGAACTAAAACCATAACTTTTTCGGCAAAATTATTTTCCAATCATGACCTATAAATAAAAAATGCGCAAGAAAACAGTAAATCTATGATTTTGAAGTTTTTTAGTTTTCCATTTACGGGGACGATATTTTGATCACAAGTAGAACAAAGCCTTGTAACTTGTGATTTAGCAAATTTATTAATTTTAAGGACCTGCAGCTCGACCTGTGTTTTTATGGTTGATCAAGTTTTCATAATAAATATAAGGGGTATTCTTATTAGGGACGTAGATAAAATATCTCTGAGAAAGTCCTACGCTTGCCGCCTCTCCTCGCTGACCAACCCACATTGAATAAATGCTATATTATTATTAATATATAGTATTGTATTATCTTTTTCACATATATCTTTATTACTTATGGAAATCAAACATATTTTATAAAAATAAAGCAACCCGTGGTCAGGGCTGCAGAGGTAGAAACCTCACAATACGTGCGGTGTCTAAAATAACTGCCTTTTGAATCGGGCCCTGAATCCAACTGTTTAGTGAGAGCTTCTTGTGATTATTAGAGTTAAATCTTATCGACATTTAGACATGAAATATTTCTTTTATATTAGTAGAAACAAAAAAATGATAGATTTAAGATGTTCATTATTGTTACTATCTTCAAATACGAGATTGAAGAATTGGTCACAGCTTTCTAAGTTTGTAGCCAATGTAGCTTGTAGTACATAACACCAGTCAAAGTGCAAGTAACGTTTTTCTTTACTTCATTACTTCTGGAATATTCCAGAAGAAAATAGTAACATGTCAATGAGATGAGAGGAATAAAAATTCATATTAGGCTTTATTATAAAATTTATTCGCATTTAAAATAATTTGTTTTAATTTTTCTGTCGATTTTATAAAATTTCACTTCAGAAACATTTACATTGTCGGTAAAATAAACATCGCGTCAGTATCTTTATGAATTAAACGGCACGTTTTCATACAAATATACTTAAAGTTAAAGTTAAAATAAATAAGCAGCTTAATATTATAAAATAGGCTAAAAGTCTTTCTTGGCTAAAATGGCATAAATCGCCTGCTCCTAGTAATACTTAATGAGATTAAGAGTTAGATATTATTAATACTTCTTCCGAAATAGTAAAGATGTAAATATAAGTCAGAGAAAATCACAATCGCATATAATATCATTGTTAAAATCAATTTTTGAAAATATAGAAAGCTATAGTAGGAAAGAAACATCGAAGAGACAAAAGGAACTTATTACAAGTCTTAAAAACTAGCACTTTCAATAAATTAACAATTATTATCTACAGAATACTAAATATCACAGAGAAAGTACCCATAACTTAATCAACATAATATGTCTCGTCAAGCAATCCAATATCTCACGTTACACAGAGAGCCGTACACTTAACTAACAAATAAATAAGTACACAAGTGGCGTTTGTACGATTTTTTACAAATAAACATACGTATTTACTGCCGAAATATCTCTAAAAACAATCATCACTCTTATTCTCTTTAAAAAAGGTAGCTATAACTTTTTAAACAGATACTTCGGCAGTGGAAACCTACGGTAATCACACTCAACTCATAAAGAGCATTTTATTCTTGGGTCTTCTACTATCCTTCTTTTCTTGAAGTTTCTCTTCATAAGCTACGCATCTTTTGTTTACCTTCTTGCTTCTCGGACATCTGAACTCGTAGTACCAATTGTTGAGTAAGTTACCGTAACCTCGGAACACGATGTAGTCATTCTTGAGGCATTGCGTCGCGTCAACTTTCATCGGGAAATTGTCTAGCTTCATTTTGCTGATGTCGAAGTTTGGTATGTCCATGTTGACGGCTGTCATACTCTCTGTTATCTCTGCAATGGAGCTGTACAACCGTTGCATCGAACCGTTAATGAGTTTCTGTCGCGTGATCTTGTAGCTATTGAAGGGATCGTCTGGGAAGTCAACTTCGACGTCGCGTAGTCTTTGAAACAGTTCGTAGTATTCTTTTAACGATTTGTAGAGTCTCGGCATTTGGTAGGCGAACTGTAACAAATAAAAATATCAAATTAATTATGTTTCGTTTATCTATTATAACCTTTCTAGCTATTCCGGTACGGCTTCATCCGTATTTAATTGTAAAAGAACTGTATTTTATTATCTACATTTGTCAAATTCTCAATTGCAATTGTCAAAATTACCGTTACCGTTGCTTCCTTAACGTTGGCAGCATATAGTTTAAGGTCCCTTTCCCATGTGCAGGTTTTATTAGTTGCCCCCTAAGTTTAACAGCGTGAAACTATATAGCCTAAAGCGTGTCGTAAGTGTAGTGAAGTATAGTAAAGATAGAATTATTCAAAAATATGCTGTGATTGCTGACATCCTAAGCCACGAAGTAGTGTGTGTTTACGCTTTATTATATTAGTATAGTTAAGTATATTGAATTAAATTCTAAAATCTAGGTGGTGTGTAAATTTATATTTACGAGTAAGAGAGCTTTATGATCCGTGAACTTAGCTCGACTTCGCGCATATTCAATAAGTGCGCGTGAATTAATATTGTCTTTATTGTGTATAGTTTAGAGCGCGGCTGATTGGTGTCGAGGTTGTTTATAAACCATGAGTATTTGTGATCGGTTAAGTATTGAAGTGATATCGTTGCGGTTGTGAAATCATCGACATATGACTTTGTCTTATACAATTTTATAGGTTATATTTGATTACTTGCAAGAAATACATTGGAGGATTACATTATCTATTATGATAGTTATTATAATACTTTTAACAATTAACTTGTCTGTTAATTATAAAAATAAAGAGAGCTATAATCCAATTAAGTCCGAGTTCACTGCACTGGAGGATCTTTAACGTCTCTTTCGTCACGTTCAATGTTCGTTTTGTTTTTAATTTTGCACCTATTTAAGTTTTAGTGGCCACTTAAGGTGCGCGGCGCGTGATTGCGGCGGGTTATAACTTAAGATGGAGCCTTTGTGTGCGCCGGCCTGCTCTCGTTACATAGTTAGGTATAAGGTTCAATTCACTTGTATGATCCTACACTAAGCTAATATTTTAGTCTACAAAATGTACACCATCCGGTGTACATTTTATTTACTTCTAGTACAAACAAATTGTACTTTTAGTAAAAACAATAGAGCGTCGGTGGCTCAGTGGTTTAAGCACTTGACTTGTAATCTACAGGTCTTGGATTTGAATCCCGCCATGTACCAATGTGATTTTCGATTGTGTGAAGCCAACCAACCCGCACTTGGCCAGCGTAGTTGACTATGGCCCAGTCACCCTAACTTTAGGGTGGCTCCGAGCCCCTCGGTGGGGACCTATAGTGAGCTGGTGATGATGATAACAAACAAAAAATTGATATTTTGATAACTTAGTATTCAGTAGTTTAATTTTTTTTTAATAAATTATTTATGTGTAGTTTTAATTGTTTTAAAATTGTGCTTATAATCTGTACCTACTACACGAAGTGTAAATTTTTTATAATTTACACGTTAGGAGTCGGTTTTAAATCTTAATCATTTGATATTACAGAGGCATAGCTTGCACCTAACTTTTATGAACATTGAATTAGTCTTACTAATATTATAAATGTGAAAGTTTGGATGGATGGATGTTTGTTAGAGTTTGTACCCTAGAAGCTGAACGGATCAGGATGATGACATCAATGTAGAAGATAGTCTGTAAGAACACATTGGCTACTCACTTTTTTATTTTACGCGGACGGAGTCGCGGGCGAAAGCAAGTATTAAAAATGTATAAATAAATACCACGTACATAAAGAAAGGTGTTACTAATATTTTTAAATATATTAACGTATAGCAAATCGGATAAAACCTCTATTTCGAATTGATCCTTGATTCTTTGAACTTGAGGTATTTCATGTTTTACTAAACCGTATAATCGTATGAGTAAATTAATTATCGGTCCTACGACAATACGCGGCGGTGGGCTCGACTTGTAGTTCTATAACAATGATGGATACAACGCGAAACGTAAATATGAATACCAGACGAGCCGGTTTGCCTCCGCGCCTTTAACAGATCTCTTATTATTGCCTTTTAAAAATAAATGTCTTGCGCCGGAGCAAATATTTGCGTGTAATGATACCTTTATTTTTGTTAGTAAAGGCTGAGATTTCATTACAAGCTTGCAATAAGAGAAATATGCGGTTGTTTTCAACTAAATTCCCTCACATAATATTAAAACTGTCATTTTCATACCGAGAAATGTCGTCCTTATTTTTATAATACTTTTTAATTTTTATTTTCAGTATTTTTATTTTATTTATTCATCTTTAGAGAAAACTTTTAATTTGTACTACTGTTATAAATCCACAAACTATGATATACTTATCCTTATCTTAAGTTATAAGGAAAAAAATTGTATTCACGAATTTATTACGCTGTCTTAAAGTTTTCGGTTTTCGTTTAACTTTTACATAGTTCTTTAATAAAATTCAGATTATTTAGTTACTTTTTAATTGACAATTTTTTTTAATATCTTTATTATAATTGCAATGGAAAAAAAGGTTGTTTATATCAAGTAATATTAAAGAAGCTAGTGTTATTTCTTAATGAAATTAATTAATAGCAGATACTAATAACTATAACTAACTGCTTGTTATTCGGTTTATTAATTCGACTGAGTAACGGGAAATGTTTCGCGTCTGTTAATTATTTTAATTCCTATAGTGACGCACGCTGTAGGAAAAATGAAGATTGTGTTCTCACTTAGTTGTATATGTTGTCATTCGTTTGCATACTCATTGTTCCTGAAACTCATTAAGGAATGTCCGACGTAATCATTCATTAAATTCATTCATATGACGCGTCTAATGTAATATATGACGTGTATCTGAGTCACATCATTTATGAAATATGTCTAACGCCCCACTTTGCTGTAATATTAACTTCACACAACACTTCGCTAGTAAACAATCGCTTTTAAAATCAATCGTTAACGCTTTACGGTTCATAAAACTATACGCCGTCCTCCGGCGCTCCATCGCCATTGTGGAGAAGCTTCGCCCAAGAAATCGTCGAGTCCGACGATAATAAAAGCGTCGGAGCTTGTGAACAAATATGGCGAAGTATTCAAGCTGAAAACCCGACAATGAGCAGTACATTCGCCTTAACAGACGGGCTTAACCTGAGAAACGTGTCGCAGACAAATGCAACACTCCGCCAGAATCGTAAGTTCACATTCGTCGCACTCGAGCAAATAATGTGTTTTTAACATTTCGTGTTGTTTTGTTAAATCGTAAATACTGAGCAAACACTAATGCGCTCCGAGTGACCGCTTAAACCCACTCGTGTCACCGAGAAAGCAGCCGCGTTAACTATGGTGGAATATCCGATCTTTGTTTTCATACTGAAAGCCAATCGCTTACGTTTACGATACTCCACAAGAACTAGTAAAATACTTCATAATTATCTTAACTTCACGTTCACGTTAAATTAGATATAACAATAAAATTGCATTAGCAAAAATGTAAAAAAAAAGCCAAATGAGTCCAAGAAGTCACATCCATACTAAACTTTAGTGTTCAGTTTTAACGTCTCATTTGAGAAGTATTTAATTTTTAAATTGTTCGTAAGTCAACTAAGAGTCGAACGAAGCTGAGATCACTTGAATTCTAACGCTTTCCTTGGCCCAATGTCAAATATTTAAATATCTTAAGTGACCATGCAACGACGAACTGTCGCGGTGTAGACTAAGTGTATTCAATATCCATCAATGTAGATACTGGTGAACTCGGCATGGATGTGTTAGGAGATAAAATTGTCGATGGCGTGCCACATAGACACGGTCGCGTAGTGTGTAAGGACATCGGACACTTTGAACTACACTTATTGTCTCGCGCAGCATTTACTTTTGTGTACTAATTAGTGGGTGTCCATTATGAATATTTAATAGTCTCGGTCCAGATGTGTGTTTGGTAAATAATAAAAGCTTTTGAACGTCCGTTACAATGGGTTTGTGTATTTTATATTTTCGTGTGCGGAGGCGGTAAGAAAACCAACAAACTTTAACTATCGATGGTATCTTATTAAAAATGCATTTAGCGCGTTACGATGAACAGTGAGACATTGTTTATATTCTATTTAAGTGTTAGTATTTATATTGTTCGAAGTCGCTTTAAACGTTTTGTATAAATATGTATATTCATGAAGCTCGCGTGCGCACAAGGATCAGTCGGTGTCCATCTATGCAAATTTCCGCGAAACATTTAACTCGTATCTCGGTTAGCTCGCTCCCACTGAGATGGAACAAAAGCTTTGACTTTATATGCCTATGAGCCTTTCAGTTTATTCATTTCGAATTTAAGATAAGCAATGATTAATAACTAAAGTTAATACAAGTTCGGTTTTTATTACGTAAGGAATTTTTAGCCAAAAAATTCCAACTGATGTATTTTTCTTTTAAGCAAAAAATGGAAATTTGTGGTTATCTGTCTTTCGAATTAAGCAATTATTACGACCTTATACAAACTGAAAAGAGCTAAAAACTGGTATTAACAAATTACGAACATTAAAATTGAAGACATATTTTGATTTCAAAAAGAAAACCACCGTTGCGAAATTAGGGGTTTACTCTCCTAGTTATTGCCCTTAAGTACAACTTGAAGTAAATAAAATCGGTACAAAGTACGGGACGCGTGTAATTTGGCTCGTCGGTACCTCATTTACGTGGCAACGGCGCGGCCTCGAGGGCTAATGTACGCGGATCCTTTGTCGTGAATAAAAGTAAAAAGAAATTTTTTAAAATAATGTAAAAACGTTGAACGGGAAGCAAAAAGAGCGATGGGCGGACGAACACAACGTACAGATGAGAGATCAGACGGTAATTAAACTGTCTTACTTCTAAAGCTTCGGATATACGTACTTTAATAAACTTAAAGATTTGAATTAAATCGGAAACGATAGATTTAATTTCTGTGTGTAATATAAATAGATCAAATGTTGAAAACATTAACGAGTAAAATAGAATATAAATATTTTGTTTTTAACTGAGTACTAACTTTACAAGTATACTATGGTATTATCCTATAGTTTAGATTTGTCCTCGTGTGTGGATAGGTTTACGAGTAGTATTTGTTAACAAAAGAAATTTACCTTTTTCTCCCAAATAGATCCGCCAGTTTTTCTCGATGATTTATAGTCATGGAAATGTATATCAACAAAGTTAACAGCCGGCAACCAATCCGGCATCCCGTCTCTGTACTCTTTAGATTCGTTCAAATCTTTTCTGTCTTGATTGAAAAATCTTCTCGTATTCTTTAACTTCCTCATAATCTTTCTAGTTGCGTTCTTGTATAGTTCTACGGTTGGATGCCTCGTCGGTCGCATGTCTTTGGTTAGTTGTGCCATTGCTTCCGGCTGCCTTCGTTGATGCCGCCTCTTGTGTTCAATCGATCGCGCTTCAACGGGCATCACAAACATCACTAATATTACTAATACCGATAGAGCTACCAACAGCCTTTGGGGAAAACCTGAAACAATAAAGAAATGGATTAAATACCGCATACTGGTTGTAGTAATTATTAAAGGAGTTTTAGTAAGGGTGGAAATACGTATTCTAGTTAAATTTAGTAGTAGCTTGTATGTCAGTTGAATAGACGGTACGATCAATGAAATGTCTATTAGTACCTCTTGTACATTTTATTCACTAACATTAGGCATGTTACAAAATCCAGCTATTAGCATGTGTATTTACGCCCTTAAGTACTATCTGGTTAACATTAATGAAAATAATTTAAAATGTTATTTAATTTAATAAAACCGCTGTATAAAAGTTCATAATTTCTAGTCAATATTACAATTCATATAATACTTATCGTAGATAAGCATAGATTATATTTGTGATTTTTCAATTATACATTTAAATGAGTTATACGTTTGTAATGAACGTTCTCCACATGGCTTGCGTTCTCAGCGACTCGTAGTCTGAGGAGTCACATAAAAAATAATAAGGTCCGTGTTTATCGTGAGCGCATTTCTACGCGCATACTGTGTGCATAAAGTGCTCGTATCTCCATCGCAGGGCACTTTCCCGCGACCATTTTGCCCCGGGTTGGGTCTCGCACGTGATTTTTTTTTAATCAATTGCATTCGCATCTTAAATTTTACATTGTTAGTTCAAAAGTGTGAAATCAATAGCTTTTTCTTTTTTATACTGTTGTGTCCGTTTCGTTTATTCTGACGTTTTGCGCCAGTAATAAAATATGTTTTATGCCGACGGGTCTAGCAATTCTTTGTATAGCTTTTTGAACTTTAAAGAAATACCATGGACTTCGAAGCGTTGGTCTTTGTCCGGCGATTGTTAAAACGTAGAAAGTAACCTTTCATAGCGCTCCACGTTTTATTTGCTACGAATTGTAAAGGACATAAAGTTATGGGCGTTTACTGCGTTATAATGGTGAATGTAAAATCGATTTCGTTTGTTTATCGGTTTGTGAATTAAAAAAAATGTTGGACTTAAAAACGTACGCCTGAGTATGCTTATGTTTTTTTAAATGGTTATTGCTCTTATATAATATGATATCCTTAGTTTTAAATAGTAGCGAGTAGTTTACAAAATAATGAAAAAAATATGTAACGGTAGAAAGTTCTAAGATCTTCAATTTGTTAAACAAAGGGACACAAACAATCAAATCCTTCCAAGTACAGTTTCACATTTCATTTATTTGCTTGTCCAGTTCGACCATAACATGCTTATGTCACTTCATATGAGGATAAGTGTCTATGGTCACTGAATCATTAGGTCAATCCGTGTTTGACAATTTTATACATGTCAAGTAAACACATAGAAGTTTACATAGACTAAAGTAGATTGCGCGCGAAAATTCGTCGAGCTGCATAACGGACACCGGTGAAGTATTATTATTATTTAGTCTGTGACCCTTATTCGCATTGAATTAATATTTATAAGGAAACGCATTGTTGATATTAAACAATGTCGACATGCGTTATGCCACGAAAACTAAGAGGTTCGTGTACATTACGTGATTTGTTACTGGGATTTCCCAGCTAAGAGCGCGGAAAGGTAGCTATGACGACCGACATGCCTCGCAACGCAGTTAAAAATAATAATAAGAAAAACTTAACAACTGTCATTTGTTATTCTGTTTAAACAATGACGTCATTGTTAACCGGATATTCAAACTCGCAATTTTCTACGCTTATCAATTATGACGTTGAAAAGAGAAATTTACCAAACTTTGTGTTAGAGAAAATTAAATTGTCAAAAATGTTTTGATGAAAAAAATATTTATGTGAATAGTATGAACTATTTAGGTTTGCTTTGGTATATTAACAATGATGTACATTTAAAAAACAACTTGAAACAAATCGCCAGTTTTTATTAAATGTAGGAGATACGAAATCCAGGGCCAAGAATGATTTAATCTGAACTAAATGATGGGTTAAAATAGGATTTTTTTATTAGATTGTCAACTTAACTAATGGCAATACAAAAAAAACAATCCAATTCGGCAGAATCTCATTGGGTAATATGCTGTAGATATCGGATAACATCGCGGTATTGTTTTCAGCGAAAAATCCCTTTGATGAAATGCCGCCATTCGAATGTTATTCATTCCCACACGATCCCCCTCTAAGTTTCGTCAAATTATGCATTGCAAACTTCAAGTTCTAAAATTGTCATAAGAATCAATTTTTTTTGTACAGTTTTTCTTATATGTAAAAAATGTTTTTATACGTAAGTAAAATATAAACATAATTGAATCGAGATTATTAAAAATGGTATTATAGATGGCAACAATAATTGACTACGTTATCTCATAGAAAAACTAGCCTTTCTTTAGTTAAAATAATTTAAAACAAATTTAAAATAATCGCATTAAAGTTATTTATTTGTTTAATCTACCTAGATACATTCTAAGTTTTTGATATAAATAATATTTTTTTGTTATTATGAATTGATGCAACATTACTTCCAATCTAATCATAAATAAATTTGTTTGTACCCACACTTTATGATAATACACTTACATCAAACACTTTATTTAAAAGAAATATTAAAAAATAAACAACACACACCAGTTAACAAGACATCCATGAACAAGGCATTGATGTAGCTCCTTCGGACAAGTCCATATTCATACAATATTATCCCGAATACGTTAAAAACGTTGAAAGCGAATAATAATCGATATTAAAAACACTGGCTGACAACACTCGCACCTTGTTTCAATTAAAAATAAAACACTGGGATAGTTTTGACAAGGGCTCACTAGTGATGTGACATTAGGGTCGCGTGTGCCGGCGGCGTGCGTCGAGGAGCTAGTGCGAGACCGGCGCGCGGGCACTCTCCGAACGTTGAATGAACGCCGAAATGCCGCGCGGTACATGAAATAGCCGGTCAAATACTACGCGAAAACCTTTACCCGCTGCAGAAAGCGAACTCCAACCCTCAAGGAGAGGTCCTTCGACCTAAATATTTTTACATAAGAGAGGAATCGAGTTTGTCATTTAAAATTTAAAATATTTTTTTCACATTAATTTAATGTTAATCTTTAGTTGACATATGGTATGTATAATTTACGAATACATTCCTAGATTAAATGGTCTTATTGTTTTTTTTTATTTTTGTAAGGTTACATTTTTCATTTAAATTTCAATGTAATTTACGAATTTTACGCATACGCAATATTCTTGAGGGTTACGTAAGAAAAAAGCTTACAGAAAATTTAGTAAAACGCTTCATAACTGTGATAAAAAACCAAAAGGAATATAATCTAAGATTTTTTCATTGATAAATTATTTCGCAATTTTATATCGTCTTGCATAATTTATAATATACTTATTATGAATATACATTTTAATTGACAATTATATTAAAATGTGTAAAATAATAAATGTTAACTGTTCCGTTTATTTACTTAAACAAAATTTGCTAATTAATACAGCTCCGTGCCATTCACTTTCCAAATCTTGTGCAAGTGAGCAATTATTCGGTTCGCCTTCTGTGCTGATTCATCGATGAGTCTATCCTAAAGTGAGTTTTTATCGGCCGTTGGTCGCCGCGGCACGCGTCGCGACATACCACCGATCATAGATTATAAATGATAACACACTCATTTACAAACCTGTTTATAATATTACGATACTTATCAATTATTTGCCTGTAATTGCTTAATGATAAGAGTGATTTTTTTGTTAATAGTAGGTTTTTGGGACCCTTAATGACAGGAATACGACTATGCAAGCAAGAATCATGTACCCAAAATGATATAAATGAGTTAGGAGATTAAATCTTAGGTCATCTGTGACTATTGTTTCCATTTAAAGTTATGATGGATTTTTTATTCGATGACTGCATCGAAATAGTTCGTTAGATTTTTTTATTATTGTTATAAAAAGAAAACAATTCACAAAATACTTGGAACATTAAAAGTTACTTTCGTTTTCTTTTTTACGGTTCAAGTTTGCTGTCGTGAACAAACATCGGACAGGACGCGAAAATAAAACCAACGACTAAACACGAAAGCAAACTAAATGTATTAAAAAAGACACCCAAAGCATGGGAAAGACACTCACTTGCCGGCGACGAGATTATATCATATTCACCTATACTCTTACAAAGGTAGTACGACAACTTTTAACAAACTTTGTGACCACAGATTACAAAAGTTACAAGACATTTATTTTGCATACTGGGATTTTGAGCTGAATGTTTCTTTGTAATATTTTATTCTGTAGCCCCTACTATCATGAACATTTTTGAACGTTTGCACCAGTATTTACATTTACAAGTTTTTTGTCTCGTGGTTAACAAGGCGATGTCATTGTACTCGGGTGCTTATTGCTATTGTCAATAGAGAATCATTACGCGCCGATTAGTAACACGAAATGTTGCATTCTCAATATGTAACGGCCAAAAGTAGGACAACCTTGCGCGCCCGTGTATTTTAAAATTGACATGTTTTTAATATCGATTAAAGATGAAGCACCTGTGCTTTTAATGTAAGACGAAAGAGTATTTTGTTTACATTTTTAATAGCTATTCGATTATTTACATTTCAGTGTGCGAATTTTTCTTATTTATTGTGGTGTCAAGGAAATATACGGCGATAATCGACAATGGGTAAGGTGATACTGTGGCAAATAATATGAACACATCACAATACTTCTTATGATAATATTTATGCCCAAAAACATATTAATAAAATCGTAATAGATAAACAATTAATTGAGTCAACACAATTAGATCGCGTCGCATAATTTTTCTTAATAAAACTTTCTATATTAATACTAAAAAAATACAATTTGATCCAAAGTGATTTGTATAAATGAGATATACGGTGGCAAATACCGCGATGTACCAAATCGATTAATAATGATACAGAGTTAAATTTTTTGCGGTGGCAATAAATGAAGGAGATTCCCAACGCAGTCCATCTCTTATGACACGATGACACAGCTTTCGTCAATTAGTTGGTTTTTTACGTGAAAATGAGTTTGTAATTAGTTTAAGTAGAGTCTTTTCCGGTCCTTGATTGTTCCAACTTCAAAAGGATCGCGGATTTTTTATTTCAAAGATGTATTGTGTTCTGAATTTTAATTACCAAATGTTCAAAAGCATTTCGTTAATGATTAATTTTGTTTTTCAAATGTCGTTTTGTTATTTTCAACAATCATTTATTGGTTGTTAATGGGATCAATTTACTCTTGTAACGTTTTTTTTTTTAAATTTACGTCTAAAGTTTTTGAATGTAGGGATATTTTATATATAATTAATATTAGAATCATGTTGTTATGGAATTTAAAAATAAAACGTAAAGATTAAAAAATTCCTCAACTTTATGAAGGAGTTGTAAAGTTTTCTTTTTTAATCTTGAATGAAATCATAGATAAACATCGTAATTGAAGTGCAGGGACTGTTCCGTGATGGGGATTACTTAAATTAGATGCAATTATTGCGAAGTTAATAATGCCTTCATGGTGGAAAATCGGTTGTCTCATCGGCTGAGTCACGGATTTTCCAAATTTTCAGAAAATATACGGAAAGCTTACAAGAGCGGTGTCGGGTGGCGTTTATTTCGTTATTAGTCACGCGACTGTCTGTTAGAGATTCGCATTCACCGATTCATCATGAAGTGGAAAAGAAACAGGTATAATACAAGGATCTAACTATTTATATTTGCTCTAAAATTACTCTGAAGACGCTCTGAAAAATCTGAACTAAAAATCATAGACACTCGATGTTTACGCCGAGTTAACTTATTAAGGCGTAAAAATGTCGACAAATTGGATGTGAATTTATTTTGTTTGTCTATTGATTTAATGTTTAGGAAAGATGAAAAACTAGTTGGTAATTATTTCACACGTAATATTGAAACGTGTTTGTGTACATCGCTTTAGCGGCTAATTTAAGTTTACCGTAAACTTGAGGCCGGCTTCCGCGACCGCTTTGGAGTTGCCAATATGTAAAATAGCATTGTTTGTGAGCCACAATATAAATCACACCTCAGCTGTGCGTACAATTCTAAAGCTCATTCTTCACGCATACCCTTAACCCCGTTTCGTGCCACAGACTAGACTCTTTCATAGACAGCTAGAGGAAAATTTATCAGTATATCAGATAGAAAGATTGTAGTACTTTTAGTCTTGGTGTTGTTTTCAATACTGTTTATAGTGTTTTTATATATTTTTTTATGCGATGGCTTATCAAGTATTCCTTTAAAAGTGAACGATGGTTTACAATGAAATTAATAAGTAGGAAATTTTGTGAAATGTTTAAAATTGGTAACATATGTTTTAAATAGGAAGAGGTTGAGAGGTTACAGATAATGTAACTTATGTCATTGCATTTAGATTGCTAACGTTGAAAACAGTCATTGATGTTATCTGCGCTAATCATATAAAACAATTTACTTTCATTAGATCATCAATATTAATCATTCTATTATTATATACTTGTTACCACTATGTTATGATTGAAAATGTAAAAACATACCGTATCTAGGCGACATAGATCCGTGTTTTCTAAAGTTGCGAGTACATAATGTGCAGCTGTCAGACATCTTGAAAATTTTATAAATATATCACAGATTAAATATCTTTGGTATCAACAGTCACTGGTCACTTCCAATTGTCACTGGCACGTTACAATTAAAAAAAGTTGTTTTTTATCACATTTGCATTTTCCGCAATCGATATTTAAATTTCGAATTCCCGCGCAGAATTAGAAATGAATAGATAAAAAAAATTGTATCGGCTACGGCGAGTGGCGGGCACGGATATGTTCAGTTGGCCGCTTTACTTGTAATGTGTGTCCTGAACGTATTTCCACGGCTTTTATGTGGCCGGCGGGCGCTCCCGTGATAAAGGGTGCAAAAAACTTTGATTGTTTGCAAGAGGGCCCGCCATTACGTCACGGATAGCGTCGCGCGCGCTCGGGACGTAAGTGTAGCACATGCTCTTACGCAACTCCCTTGTCCAAATAAATAGGTGCATGTGCGATACCGGATCCAAGAGGTGTGTGAACATTTGATTATTAGATTCACTTACATTATTAATAGAATTTATATAAATGTCATGTAAGTCGTAGTTTGCGAACTGTCTTAGCTATGAAAAATAATTCAATTATTTTTGTAAGTTTGTAAAATTATATTTGTAAAAACCACAACAGTTTAAAGTAAATTATTTTTCTTATTTCATATCGTTGTGATTTAATATTCCATTTGAACATTATCATATTATAATAAAATACTGCTCAAAATACCAATTATTTTTTAAGTAAAAATAATTGGAGATTAATAAAATAAATTACAATTACATTTTAATATTTCTCCGTTGAATAGTTTGTTGATGTCAATAAAAATTATTCAGCTAGTAGAACACTCTGTATATTTTAGTAAATATTACCTACATTTATCTGATAACCATGTTTATTCTCAATGAGTGATTGAATATACGATCTTTTAATTCGTTCATAACCCGATATTCAGAAAAAAAAGATCGCAATCGTTTTACTTATTAATTGCATAAGTCCTTGATAATAATATAAATTCGGTGTACGACGGAACTATCGTACAAGAATTTGCGTAAAACCTTGGCGTTGCAGATGGATAATAAAAAATTTGGCACATGTAAACAGTTCGAAGGGTTTAAATTTAGAATTTAGGCGGGGCTAGGAAATCGTTTGCAAGTTTAGAGGGTGTTCGTCCTCGTATATCGCCTATGGGAGAGTCCGCCTCTCAATACTAATCCCAAAATAGTCTCCCAGGATTGGTCGCTTGCAGCATTCCCTTCACCTATTAAATAACAGTGTTTAAAATTTGTATTTCTCTCGTCAGTATGAGCACGTACGGAGCTCATTACTCCGGCTGTGTTTTACTTGCTTACCAAAATAAACAAACTCAAAAGTAACTTTTATAACAATGGTGGACTTCTTGGCTGCCATGCTGGAAGCAAACAAGGATGTATTTATTCACATCGTATAAAAAAATAACCAATTTTGTCAACGATATTATTTCAAAAACATTGATTCAAAGTATCAAAAATTAGTAGTTTCTCATTTTATAAATTATGAGCAATTATTAATCAGTTATAATCATAAAATGTGACGATAAAGTTCTCAAAAGAAAATTATTATTTCATAAATTAAATTGCAATAAAAAGTTATTACCTACTTTCTTTTATATTTTTAAGAAATAAAGGTAATTCATTACAACGTTTTCAAATTTTTCGTTTACAATACTTAAGTGACACGAGGGGGATTTCGTGTTTATTACTAAGAGTAAAAAGTGCGTCACCAATTAAACGTAACAGTACAAAAATAGAATAAATCAAAATTAGTTACACGTTACTATAAGTAATATAGGATGTATAAATAAATTTTCCGTAATACGTACATACGTGCGGTTAAGTAGAATTTAATATTTGTTACATTTTTCCGCTCATGTCGAACGCACATTGAATCTTATTCATTATGAATTAGTTACGAGTATTCCATAATAGGATGTATGTTACGGTAAATGTGATATTGAATTATTGATATTGAAAATTATCGATAATTTTCGGTTACTTATACATTACATTGAAAATAGGATAGATTTGTATATTTGGATTTTTGTATGTATTCGATTCGTGTAAAAACTACTGGGCCGATTTTAAAAAAAACTTTCAAAGTTAGAAAGGTAATTTATCTGTGATTAACATAGGCTATATGCTTATTATTTTTTATTTCACGCGGACTAAGTCGCGAGCATCAGCTAGCTAATAATTACCAGGAGGGTTGCTAAATTTCAATATAACACTTTCACCCGTTTTTATAAATAATTCACTGCTGTTATCACTAACTAGTTAGAATACATTTTGCAAATTTAGTATAACTTTTGTTTTTCAATATTGCGCGAACGAAGTCACTGGATAAAGCTAGTAGACCAAAATAAAGAAATTCTCGCTTGACTGTTTTGTATTTGTTTATACTCCTTTTTAAGGAAGTGCGAACGGATGCACTTGAGAATTGCAGCTGTGTAGAAACAGCATAAAAATGGTCGAATTTCCAATATCTCTACTCGTAGTTCAGTACTACGGTAGTAATATAATGTATAAATTCACGTATGTGAATGACTGTGTCACATGCAATGCAAAATACCGCTATGTCGATATAGTTTTGTGAGATCGCATTGCATTGTTTCCACCGTAACATGCAACTGTTAATAGACTACTTAGTGACGATAACAAGAACAATTATTTATGTATCAGTCCTTATGTCACACCGTATAAGATTTTCTTTTATTTTACACTACTAACTACTAATACTAATTACTACCTGTACTAATACTAAAGATATCTAATAACGCGGTGTATTTTTTTTATTTTACAATATTAAAAGAAGATTTGGAAACAGCATTCGAATTAAAGAGTGGAAAGTAAGAATAAAGTTAGTAACAAAAATTTAATATATGTGTGTTTTTTAATTAAAAATTAATATGTCTTTATAATTATAAAATTATTTGTACTAAATATAAATTTTCACTAAGTTATTAAATGGCCAACGAAACTTCGTTACGGTGTGATACGGTGCCAATTCTATAGGAATAAAAAAGGCTTTTCTTGCGGATTTTTCAATTAGTATGGGAAATATTTATGAAATAATACTTGGATTATTGGGAGATCCTGATACATCGATTTCAGAGAATCTGTGAGTGACCTAGTGAAAATCCCAGGGCCCGTTTGCTCATTGTTCATGCAAATCCGCGTTGTAGAGATGCTGTCATATTTGATTTGCTCTATGCATTAGTGCTCTCCACTATTACGTTATATGTTACCTAGCTTATGCCGCGACTCTGTTCTAGGAATATTGTTATACATAATATTACTAACATGAATACTACTATTACATAATAATACTTTGATAGTTTTAGTTTAAACGTTGAACACCAATGGAAAACAAAATACACAATAGAAATATATGATTGACAGTATATATTGTATATTTTTCTACGAGATGGTACACTAAAAGAGTTCTTCCTCATTTATTTTTCTGTTGTTGATTGCAAAAGTTGCATTTTATTACTTCCAGAATTAGAAATTCAATGTGAAATCCAAAAGGGTTTTTCACACCATGACATACTGACCGATAAATTGACTAATTGTGTTTGTATATTTAGACGGTGAGGAAAATAAATATTGAATAAGAATGACACATATTACAATATTAGTAATACGCGTTGTGTCCATGTGCGATACTATGTGACATCGTATAGAATGAACGAATGTTGTATACGAGACCGTAACATTTTTAAGTTCATTGATAACTTTAGCCAAAACAATTTTATATGATTTTTAATTGTCTATACATATAATAAAATCAGATTGTCTGTTTGTAACATAGAAAGGAAAATTCGAGATTTCGGGAAGATAATGTATTTGCGTTGCTGATACCTAAAATCTTATTTTTTTGTCTGTTTGTTCCGGGTAATCTCCGAAACGGCTAGACCGATTTCGACCGGACTTACACTGAAGGGTAGCTGACATAGATGGGCAAATTATAGGCTAATTTTTATTATCTTAATATTGCGTGGACGAAGTCGCGGGCAACAGCCAGCGTTTATATAAAATCCATACGAAATTTTTATTTAATAGTATTCTAAAATGTTTAAGTGGTGTAACTCACAAGTATTGATTTTACTTAAAATTTCTTGGTAAGAGTAATTTCTACTGTTTTTAATTATAGTAAATCAAGAACACCAGCTACAAACGTCGAATTAAATGTTTTTTTGGTATTGCTACCGAAGCAAATTTTCTAATTTTATAAATGAGTTGGTTTTCTATGACGTAAAACGTGAAAGTTTAATCAAGTTCCTTTTCTAATCAGTTATATTAAGTATGAATCACCTATCATACTAACCTGGTAAGTTATGACTTGAAGGCGGTACCAAAACTTTCGGAATGTCAAATTACGTCTGACTTATGATTAGCAAAAATGCCCCCGATGACTAACATCTCGAGGTTAGAACCATTTGTTCTGAGAAAAGAATCGCGGGCGCAGGTAAGAACGCGGAGGAAATGCCATAACAGCCTTGCAAGTTAGCTAACTCCTAAAATATTTGCAATAAGTTAGGCAAGAGTTTATGGTTGAGTAAAGTTTGGGTTTAAAGTATATTTTGTTTATATCTTTTGGCATGTATTTTAATTTATGCGGCACCTGAAGCTTTTTCAAGAAAATTTAAACTTTTGATTTATTAATACAAATTTGATAACAGTTGTAGATTTCAAAAATTTCGTGGACAAAGTAATAAATGTATAAAAATGCTAATCATGAATGCGCAAATTTGCGTAAAACTGATGTTTCTTTATTTTTACTACTGTTTTTCGCAAAATTATATGGATTTTTTTGAATTTATTATCCATATGTTTGGGGTTAAAAGCTGATGAAATGTTGCGACAACTTGAGAAATTATACCATTTCCACTATTTACAATAGACAAAGGCTCATTTGTATTAAACGTTATATGTATGTTGCATTGTAAGTCTATCATTTTAATCTTGTTTTTCATTAGGTTGTCGACACACTTGCTAGTTCCAAGATATAAAAAACATCTTTCAGTTCGTTAGGACTGAATTACCCAGCTTTTCGCTTAATTTTCTAGCGGAGCTGTTTTATGTTTTTATTATTTACGATTTAATATCCTTCCAATAGCGAGACTAAGCAAATGACTACTTTATTCTAAACATGAATAAAACTATCGTTATAGATTAAACCCAATCTTAGTTATATTAAATATTATACCTAGTT